ACTTGTATATGTACATCCTGTTCTATTTGTATTCAATGTTTATATTCTGCCAGATAATTGGAAATGCACGTGAGGTGGCCATATAATACATACAATTTGCTTTTTGATTGAATCACGGCTAGTTCTGAATGGTCATATCTAGTGATGAATGGTCATATCTAGTGACCGACTCCTATTATTACAACCTAATTCAGTTAAATCCTAAAGCCAGTTGTTATATTTACTTTAAGCTTCATAGTTGAAGGTTGTAAAAATACAGTACTATATTGACCTCCACACATCACCAAGTTTGACAGGTTTTCTAATTCAATCCATATTGATCTAGACTATACCTTCATCTTTGGTTTAATCAAACAACTTGTGTTTTATTCATTGTAGTACAGGAATTGGAGTTGAAAACAGTAAGTTTTTGAACATCTTGTTATATTGTGTATCTGTGTATATGTTACAAGAAGTCTTATAGAACACTCTGGAGATTTGAAGTGTGATGTAGATGATTTTTGTGTTAAGGAAGAATGAATTAATTTTCATATGTTTATTACAATACAATTACAGTGACATTGGCATAATATACATCCTATATTTTTAATATCTAAAACTTGTACTATAGATTTATGATTGCTTATTAAGAAATAACTGATTGTTCTGATAAACATGTAGTAAAAGCATTCAGACCTTGCTTTACCGGCAAGTTTTCCTATTTTTCATGTTTTTGCAAGAATTGAAATATATGCACTGAAAGGGGATGTTTGTGTATGAAAATTATTGTTTGAACTAATAGAGTTATTTGTAAATAGATAATATATAAGATATTTTTAATAACAATTTTTATGATATATTTTTACCTTCAGGCAAATGGTGACTGTCAGTTATCTATCATAATAACTTAAAGCATTTAAAACCAGTTTTGCTACTTATAAAAATGTTGTTTACATTCTTGCTTCAAATGGTGCATAACTGTAAAGATTAGGCTTCTACAATCATGTTGTTTTACACATCAGTTGTCATGATCATGAAATAGATTCACACTAAAACCTTAAATAGTTGTTATTTGATGTAAGCTTATATAATAATTGATTAATTAAGCAAGGGTATATATAGATCAAAATTATACAGATCTATCATCAAATACATTTCTTTTTACATATGTCTCATTATTTTCAAAATAAAAAAAACGGAAAAATATTTGAAATTAAAGAACGTCTCACGTGTACGGATAAAAATATCATTTACCTAATTTCGTGTAAAAAATGTGACAAACAATACGTTGGCGAAAACCAGAACGCGTTGCGAACTCGATTTAGCGGCCATCGCTTTGATATAATTCATAGCAAAAAAAGACCAATTTCTGATCATTTTAATTTACCTGACGATTCCATTGAAGACCTACTTATCATGCCTATTGAATCAATTCCTGACTCTGATCTTATCAAACCAAAAACCAAACGATTACAGAGAGAAAGCTACTGGATGGATCAACTCCAAACAGTGGCTCCAAATGGACTTAACATCCAGCATGATAATCAAATGATTCCATTTGTTGCCACCTTTAATCATACAGCTGCCAAAACCTCATCCATCGTCAAACAGTATTACAGTGAATTACAGAACAGATTTCCGAATGTATATACCAAACGACTTGTAATTGCCTATAAGCGCAATAAAAACCTTAGTAATTTTCTGGTCCGTGGTAGACTCGATCCCATTGAATCCAATAATACTTGACCCCCCTCTCTATTTTCTAGCTCATTAAGTATAATCTATTCTAATCTTTATATATAGATGTTTATCTTTCCAGAACCTATTCATACTCTTTTCTTTTAGAACTGGTAACAAGAAAACTTTCATATTATAGACTTTTGGTTATTGTAGATTACTTGTGGTTGTTTTTTTAACTTAATACTAACTATGCTAACTTCACCTTATCTTGTATTGAACATTTATCTCTTTATTTGTGACCTTGGCCAGTGCTTTACATACAAGTTTTTAGGAACTTCTTCACTCTTAACACTAGTTTATATTTTGAACTCTTGTATCTTGGTATGAAATGATAATGGGCTATTGAAATATATATTATAGTTGAACAAAGGGGATAAAGTGCAAAAAGTTCAAATTTAAAACCATTACATTTCCATATGATGTGATATTAAACGTTTAAATAAATAATACCAAAAAGAGGTTAGGTATGAAAAGTCCAACCATATACATAATTTTGTTATTATACATTATTGTATATGAATATATGACTATAATTGTTTAAAAAGATGTTTTAAAATCTCTTCCAGAAATTTATTTATTCACCTAAAATTTGTTTACTTATCAGTTTTAAGTTAATATGTATAGTAAAAAACAGACATATTATTTATGATATAATTAAGCCTCAATGATTATTCCCAGATAAAACTGTTTTCTGAACAGTTAAAGGATGAAGGTCTAAAAATTTTGAAAGATATGTTGTTTTTTTCTATGCAGAGAAGTAAATGTGTGAAATTTGATGTTTTCATGAAAAGTGCGCTTTATTTTTTCTTGACAAAAAATATTTAGGTCATGTAAAAGACAAACTTCTCAATTCTCAATAGGCAAAACTGTAAAAGGTTTTGATAAATAGGGTTTCTTTATATGCTAAAACCTGTTATTGGTCTGGAACATTTAGGCTTGGCTTTAAATATCAATAACCCAGTTGGATATATGGTGAGATTAAAATAATTTTTATATATATATACCTGCATAAAGATAAAAGTTTTTACAATCACAATTGTTATGGTCGATGGTTTATTTAGTTATTTTTATACTAATAACTGAGCTAAAATGCTTGAAGATGTAAAGAAGAACATTGAACCAAAAGTCACCTTTTGACTTTATTTCTATTCAGTCCTACATACTTTCTACATATTTGTACAACATAGTTTGATTTTCATATGGCCTTATGCATAATTGTTATTATTAAAAACAGTGTAAATCATGCATGAAAAGATTTTTAAAAGTGCTATTTACTTCTATGTATACACTTGATCTGCCTGAATATGGTTTAAAAGGGTTGATTATAAAGGGAGCTAGGTGTTTGCGATTATTTTGCTTAATTTTGTACATTACTTTTCCAAAAGCTGATGAGAGACATCTTTATCAATTTCCAACAGCTGAAGGTACTTTTGCGATGTTAAAGGGACAGGTGAGCCATTTTGGGGGTTGATTTTAATCTTGAATATATTATGTAAATCTTCAGACAAGGTTTGAAATAAGCTGTATGTTATGATTAGTGCAAGTATTCTTAAAACCAAAAGTAGAAAAATAATGAAAGTAGGAAATTCATTGGCTGATATAAATAGATATCCTTCCTTTTCAATTGAAAATATCGTATTTTTCATGTCCGGTACAAAATTTCAAATGTCCGATACAAATTGAATTGTGCCGGACAAAATGTATCATTAGGTTTTTTTTTAATATAAACCTTATGTTCTTATGGTTCTTATGTTGATGTTTTAGTGTAGAAGTCTTGAATAACAAGAATTTAATGAGTTTATCACCTGATATATCATAGTGCTCTTTATCTTGACATATTATAACTAATAGATGGCATACTGTACTGACCACACTTTCTGTACCAGACACGACATTAGTTTGACAGATGTAAACCTTTAATAAATTGTTATCAGAGTAAGAAATTAATTAGTACATCTTAATAACTGGTTATGTACATGTATATATAATGATAGTTCATATTAACTGCAATTAAAAGTCAGAGCTTGGTCAAATATGTCATAAGGAGTTTACAAGATTCAAAATATTGACGAAAAAAATTCAAGCCTTCTCAGGTATGTAGCATAATATCAGATTTTTAAGAAAAGTTTTGATTTCATTGTCTTCTATGGATGCATTATCAATGTATTGGCTGTATTTCCCAGCTGCATTTAGAAAGGATTGATCAAGTGTATAAAAGGAATTGAGCATAATGCTCCATTCGTCATACTTCCTCAGGGCCGTGGTAACACATGTCAGAAAATTACATATGCATAGCTAAATTTTGTCCAATCAAAATTGGTCATATTTTATTGGTAGCAAATTTCAGCGAATCAATACAAATGTTTGAGAATATAAACAAAACGAAAGTGGTGTGCCATTACATATTTTGATGAATATGTACAGTACAGAATTGAGTAAGATTGAGAAATCAAACCTTACTTTGGAATATTAACAAGGAAAGAATGTGTTATCTCTTCAAAAGGGCATCGGCAACGTGACCGTACATTGTGATTCAATTGCCACTAATCTAATTCACGCTCACATAACGAAGTGTAGTGGGCTTAGTTTAATGTGGGTTAATAAGACCATTTCCATTTCTACTGTCCAAGCATGATTTTTTCCATTTAACAATTAGCACAGCAACATTTCCAATTCTTTTTTATCCTTGATTATCTGTTGTGTTAAATAACTGGACTAGAAATTTGGTTGTTAGTTTGCTGTTCTATTGACTATCCTCTTTTCCAGATTGAATACAAAAAATGTCAAAATAAGTTTGTGAACACAAAAGTTACATAAAAGATTTAAGGAAACACTAGACATGCATGAGTTATAGTCAATTGTTAGCCGATGGATTTTGTTTGTTTTGTAGAAATAAAAGGCTTTTACATCAATTTTGTTAGGGTATTGACATTTTTGACTTTAAGTTTCAGAAACAAGATATCACAAACTATTGTTTCAATATTGATTTCTTTTGAATGTAGTCATATATATAATGTTAACTTATTAATAATTCTCCTATTTCATATTATAAAAGTAGATGTTATAAGATACTAATCATCAATGAAAAAGTTACAAGTACGAAGAGATGTTATTTTTATACTTGAGATAAATACAGTTTGCTTTGATTCTATTGTCTTATTCCATATTTGTATGCTAATGCATTCAAGTCTATTTTTATTATAGCAGTATGTTTTTATCTTTTCAGAAACATTGACTATCGAACAAGAATACAGAAAAAAAGTCATAAGAAAATAACAAAAATGACCAAGCCACTTTTGTATGGTTTGGCATTGTTGCTATGTCTACCCAGTTTCGAGTGGTAAGATTTCATTTTTTCTGAGATTAGATGAACAATTCACTTCTATGATGTTTTCACACAGTTGCCAGAATGTGTATTTATGGAATTTAGTTTAGATTTCCTTTCTCATTGCCCACCTTTTCCTATCAAAATTTAACTAAACCAACATAAACATATACCAGTAATGTCATTATTTAGGTTGAATTTTAACACACTTGTGATATTTCCTGGCCAAGTTTAATACAATGAAATGTTGACCTTGACCAAGTCTGTTGGAGACAATGCTAAAAAAATCGTTTTATTCCTTAATCTAATGTCAAATAGGTTTATTACACAAACTGTAAATTTTTTACCCAACCATCCTAAAGTTGCTTTTGGACATTCGCATATATAATTTATGAACACAATTACTTGGATGTATAGGAGATATATCCTTGAAAAATATGACCAAAGATGAAGACCAAAATCTGTATTTGAAAATTATATCGAGGACTCTTGTTTTCTTGAGATTTCTCATCATGTAGAGGGTGGTTAAGTTCTAGAGTTATATACTCAAATTTGATGCAATGGTGTCAATTTTCCAATATAAAATGCGCCGAATTTTTAATACAGACCCAATCAAAGTGATGTAAGAGCTAGATAATACACACCTTGTATTTCATCTTGTTATTAAGCAATTGCAATATTTAGGCAGGGGGAAAAACCAGTGAAGATGGAAATGGAAATTAAAATTTCTGGTTTGAATTATACTTAAAAGGATTATACAAGTGATAGTTAGACTCAAAACACCAGCATTGAACTATCAGGATAGTGCTTTCATTGAGACTTGTCACAATACACCATAATACCCCCATGGCCTGTATTTCTATTTTAGTGGCTATTTAGTATTGGCACCAAAGAGTTTCCGAGCTGGTGAAGATTATAAGGTATCTGTTGGAGTGGAAGGTATGAATAATATTGTACAATTAACTGGTGAATTAAAGAGTATTAAACCACAAACCAATACCAGAATTACTGCTACTGGAAACGTGAATAATGGTATGTTCATATCTTCTAACAGTCTTAATTCAACATTTATCATGAACATTGTTAACTTGAGCTAAGACAATTTTGAACAACAGGTTCTTACCAAGCAAGGTAACATACATCAACTTTCAGATGTTGCCATAATAGATAAGAAAATTTGTATTTTTGTTGATAAAGAAATTCATAATGCATTTGTAGTTCAAAACCTGAACATATCGATTTCTCATCAATTTACAATATTATAGGGTTTCCCTCAAAATCCTGTAAATGAATCGATCTTAAATTTTGAAAGATTTTTAATAACCCCAGGACAATTACTAAGTGAAATATCACATGCCAATGTGTAATTAGTTACTACTTGATAGCATAATGCTTTGACAAGCCTAATTTGACAATTTTTTTTTATGTCAAGGTCTTAAAACACAAAACTTTTCACTTGAAAATCATCATAACTTGAAAGTGATATTATCAATATGCCTAATATGTATACCAAGATTCATCAAGATCAGATAGATTGCTTTTGCTTTTAAACTTTTCAACTTTCTTATATCCATGTGACATTTCTAGCAGACTTTCAGATTTCATTAGATTTTGATTGAATTTTCTATTCATATCATAATGTATATTTGGATGGATAATTTGTTGGATCAATTAAATTTTGGTATGATTTTGATGTAGGTTTTTTTAATTTATTACCATTGACTAAGCAAATATGGTCAAGATTTGACATTGATATGTATAGATTTGTTTGAGTGTTACATTTCCTTGTGTTTTTTAAGAATTATGTTAAGAAGGTACTGCCTTTGACCTTGCTATAACACATCAAAATTGGATTAGAGACGCAAAAGATACTCAAATTTTGTTCCAATTTTAATGAAAAATTACATGACAATTTACATGTTTATATATATATAGATAAAAGTATATATAAATAGTAATATTGAACATTGGCGTTAACATTAAAATATTCATGATATGTTATTTATTTTCTAGGTGATACAACACTGTTGAACTTTCAGGTGAGTTCATTTTTTAATTAAAATATTTGTAGCCTGCAACAATTTTTATTTCCATCAAGTCAACTGATCATATCAATTGTAATGAATTCAAGGATCACAACTGTTATTTCCATCAAGCCAGCTGATCAAATTATTCCAAATGAATTCAAGAATCACAACTTTAATTTCCTTTACGCCATCTGATCAAATTTATTAATTGAATTCCAGGATCACGAAAATTAATATCCAGCAAGTCAGTTGGTCAAATTAATTTGAATTTAATTTTTTTATATCAATTTATTAAAGGGATAGTATTTAGAAAAGTATTTATGCTGTTTATATCTATGTGATAATTTTTTTACAAGATATATAGCATTCTTTCGGAAAGATTTGGTTTATAAAAGACATAAACCTAGTACCCTTTGTTAAATAGGTATGAACTAATGTTCATTTATTTAATTTAAACTTTTAAAGTGGTTAAAAAAGATTTGAAAACACAAATATTAGGATAAAGGAAAAGGAGATTGAGAATGATTATTACAATAAAACAATGTAACTTTTGTTACAAATGAGACAATGTAACGAGGAAACAGGAACTCTGATTGAAATAATAGTAAATGTACCTGACGAAACAATTGAGATATATAATGGGAGGACACAATCTCTGTCTATTTTAAGTTGTAATGAATTTAATTTCTATTGTTTTTACATGAAAATGAAAAAAGAAAAATTGGTATAGTCTTTGTCTGTAAATCTATGTGAAATAGCCAATAAAATCGGATTTATCTCACTATTTACATAATTTCAAGTCTCGACACAAGAATTACATTATAGATATATCAAATTAACCCTGTTTATTAGCTTACACTACCACTTTAATCAGCTGTTTGCAGAGAAAACAGAGAAGTTGCCACGCTCAAAGGGACAGGATTGCCATTTCGGGGGGTGGGGGGGATGGGTGATTCAGGAAAATATGTAAATAGTACTCCAGTACTCGAAATGTACTAAATTCGCACAATTCCCTCAAAAATACCTCAAACTAGGAATTTCACTTTCTATTTCTATATCTATATATGGTGTCTTAAGAAAAAGATGAGTCGTCAATTTTGCACGTTGATAATTCAGAACAAACATGTACTTAAAGGGTCAAATTTCGAGCTATTACTGATTAGCTTAGCTTGCAAAATTCCCTTTTCTGAGAATATGATACAATTAGTCAAACACTTGGGGAACCTGTCCCTTCGAATAAATTCAAATAAATTCAATAGCCTGTTGAAAGACAGGATGTTGGAGGATAGTGTAGGCCAGTACAAGACGTCACAAGAGAAATAACCAATGACAATTTATCTACATGCTTCCTTTTAATTAAAACTGCTTTCCATCTCTCTCTTAAGGAAATAAAGTTCATTAAAATATTTTCTGTGGTTGTAAAGAATTAAAAAAAAGGCAATAATATGATTATATTAAGATCAATCAACTGAAAGTTAACCACAATTTTGATGTTTATATTTATTATTCTTTATAATCAACTGTGAAATTGATCATTGATGTTGATTTTGATATTAAAATTAAATTTCACATAAACATTTCTAAAGTACAATCCACATCCTTCAAGTCAAGTTTAGAATTTGTTTGGCTTTTGTTATACGCCCACATGGAAATGTGGACGTATATTGCCGTCGCCCCCGGTCCGTCGGTCCGTCGGTCCGTCAGTCTGTCGGTCTGTCAACATTTCTTGTGAACACAATAGAGACTACAGTTTTCAACTGATTTTAATAAAATTTGGTGTGATCATTTATATTGATGAGATCTTGGTCAACTTCGAATATGATGTTCTTTCAATGAACAGTTTTTGAGTTATTGCCCTTGACTTGACTTAGGAAAAACGTGTCAAAATTTGTTTGTGAACACATTAGAGATTACAGTTTTCAATTGATTTTAATGAAACATGGTGTGATCATGTATATTGATGTGATAATTTGATGTATTTGGGTTATTGATATTAATATTAAATTTCTTAAATATAAGAAAATTCATACTTTAGTCACTAAAGACTGTTTTATCATTTCTGACAGCTGCTTGGCAAGCTATCTTTGAAAAGTTAATGTGATATAATCCAAAATATATTTTGATAACATATAATATTGTTCATGAAATACATGATAATTAGGGAGTTAATAATACATGCGTAAACCGGTGATTTTGTTAAATAAATCTGATAAGGAGATATAGTGTTACTAGATGTGACTTTGGTTACAAGAAATTGAAGAAGCAATATTTAGAATATTTAGAAGATATGTATCAGTTTGACATATCTCTTGGCTACTTTTTAAATCTTTATCCTGTTTATCTCTACATATTTATTATTATATAACTATAAATTAAAATCCATAAAGATTGAAAATATGAAGATTATGGTGTATTATTCTCCATGTTAGTATGTTTTTGAAGTGTATAAAGTGAATTATTTCACAACACGGTTATTGCCCTATATGTACCAAATAAGAGTGAACTTATTCTATTTAACTGATTTCTTTTCAACCACCCTAACCTCTATTTAGCTTGAACTACATGCAAAAGCTGCAGTGGCTCAATGAGTTAGATTATTGCTAGCAACCTTGAAAAAGTTGGCAATCATTGTTGTCCTTTCTCTCATTGGGCACTGCATGGTGTTGCCTATCTTCATTGGCCCAATCACATGGATACAAAGTAGGATGTAAAACTTTCATTTTATTTTTACATTTGAATAAGATGCAGTTTAAATGTAATTTTAGTATATATACACAAAACTCCATTTAATCTGGACAAACTTTAACATTTTAAGAATTCATTCATTCATTCATGTTTTACCTTGGAATTTTTTTGTAACAGTTAATAGTACAGTGTACTCTGTTATATCCGACATCTGAGTTTTCCGACATTCTGCCTAATCCGACATCATTTTCTGGTCCCGATTGATTTCCTTCTTAGGTTTCCTGACACTTTTGCGGTCCCAGTGTATGTCGGATTATGCAGAATATACTGTACTTCCTTTTATCTGAACAGAGCTGGTCTGTTCACTCTAATTGATTCCATACTATTTGTATTGTACGATGTATAATGTAAATTTTGGTGGTAGTGATATAAGAAAAGATAGATGTATTTGTATATTGTATATTTCTATATGTAGGTTGGTGGTAGTGATATAATAAAAGATGAATGTATTTGTATTTTGTATATTTCTATATTATGTAGGTTGGTGGTAGTGATATAAGAAAAGATGAATGTATTTGTATTTTGTATATTTCTATATTATGTAGGTTGGTGGTAGTGATATAAGAAAAGATAAATATATTTGTATTTTGTATTTTTCTATATGTAGGTTGGTGGAAGTGATATAATACAAGATGAATGTATTTGTATTTTGTATATTTCTATATGTAGGTTGGTGGAAGTGATATAATAAAAGATGAATGTATTTGTATTTTGTATATTTCTATATTATGTATGTTGGTGATAGTGATATAATAAAAGATGAATGTATTTGTATTTTGTATATTTCTATATGTATGTTGGTGGTAGTGATATAATACAAGATGAATGTATTTGTATTTTGTATATTTCTATATGTAGGTTGGTGGTAGTGATATAAGAAAAGATGAATGTATTTGTATATTGTATTTTTCTATATGTATGTTGGTGGTAGTGATATAAGAAAAGATGAATGTATTTGTATTTTGTATATTTCTATATTATGTAGGTTGGTGGTAGTGATATAATACAAGATGAATGTATTTGTATTTTGTATATTTCTATATTATGTAGGTTGGTGGTAGTGATATAAGAAAAGATGAATGTATTTGTATTTTGTATATTTCTATATGTAGGTTGGTGGTAGTGATATAATACAAGATGAATGTATTTGTATATTGTATTTTTCTATATGTAGGTTGGTGGAAGTGATATAATACAAGATGGATGTATTTATATTTTGTATATTTCTATATGTAGGTTGGCGATAGTGATATAATACAAGATGAATGTATTTGTATTTTGTATATTTCTATATTATGTAGGTTGGTGGTAGTGATATAAGAAAAGATGAATGTATTTGTATTTTGTATATTTCTATATTATGTAGGTTGGTGGTAGTGATATAATACAAGATGAATGTATTTGTATTTTGTATATTTCTATATTATGTAGGTTGGTGGTAGTGATATAATACAAGATGAATGTATTTGTATATTGTATATTTCTATATGTATGTTGGTGGTAGTGATATAAGAAAAGATGAATGTATTTGTATTTTGTATATTTCTATATTATGTAGGTTGGCGATAGTGATATAATACAATATGAATGTATTTTGTATATTTCTATATGTAGGTTGGTGCTAGTGTTGATGATGGTATGTATAATTTAACTATAAGTGGTACTGATGGTGGTAACTCTTTTGTCAATACAACTACAGTAGAAAGAGTGAGAAATGATGTGTTGGTACTTATACAGACTGATAAAGCTATTTACAAACCAAACCAAGTCAGTAAGTAATTTACACAAAGCTAGTAAAATGAAAAGATTATTTTGAGATAAATCATATACATTAGAACAATGATAGTCCTGAAAGATTAAACCAGTTTTAAGCCAAGGTATCACACATCATGTAAATCAAATTACAAACCATCCAAACTACGGATTCAAAATTTAAGTTAATATCAAATTTAAAATATATATCGCAATTATTATAAACTTGCGTTTTATTTTTTTCCGAGAATTTAACAATGTATAAATTGTATAACTATTTCAGTTAAGATCAGGACATTTGCTATAGACAGTAATTATAATGTGGTTAAAAGACCTATTACTATCTCTATCATGGTGAGTTTTATAGTTTAGATCTAACCAATAACTTTTGTTTGAACATGTTTCTACTAGTAAAATGAACTTTTTTGCAACTTCTGAAAGCTGTTATGGTTTAACTGAATGAAGAACAAGTATAGCAGACTTTCTATGATTTTTGTAGGACAAGAATCAGAATAAACTTGCAGAATTCAAGAATAAGCAATCAGCATCAGGTAAATAGTGAATTAATTAAGGAATTAAACAAAACCTGTGCACACTGTATAAATCCGCGTAGTGGTTTATATATAAGTGTACACAGGGTTTTTCTGTTTATTTAAGGAATGAATGTGGATCTTT